CACTCTATCACCCTGGGTAGAGTGCAATGGTATCAGTGTGTAACTCACAGCAACCTCAAACTCCTGGGCTCCAGCGATCCTCATGCCTCAGCCTCTGGAGTAGTTCAGACTACAGGCGTGCCCCACCACGCCCGGCTAATTTTTCTATTTTTTTAGAGACAGGGGTCTCGCTCTTGCTCAGGTTGATCTCGAACTCCTGACCTCAAGCAATCCTCCTGCCTCGGCCTCCCAGAGTGCTAGGATTACAGGCGTGAGCCATTGTGTCTGGCCCCTTGGGTTGAGATTTAAATGTAAAAAGAAAAATCTTATAGTTAGTATAACAAAATATAGGTAAAAAGATACATAATCTTAAGGTGGAGAGGGCCTTTCCAAATATACAGCCAAAGAAAGAAACTATAAAGAAAAGATAAAAACTCTGGTAACTTCTAACTTTTAAAAAAGCCTGTACGTGCCCAGAGTAGTAGCTGATGCCTCTAATCCTAGCGCTTTGCGGGGCCAAGATGGGAGGACTGCTTGAGGCCAGGAGTTTGAGACCAGCCTGGGCAAAATAGCAAGATCCTATTTCTATAAACAAATTAAAAAATTAGCCAGGCGTGGTGGCGCGGGCCTGTAGTCCCAACTACTTGGCAGGCTGAGGGGTGAGGATCACTTGAGCCCAGGAGTTCTGGGTTACAGTGAGCAGTTACCCACTGCACTCTAGCCTGGGTGACAGAGCGAGACCCTGTTTCTAAACAAATAAACAATAAAAGCCTATACACTTGTCCCTTGATATCTTTGGGGGATTGGGTCCAGGACCCCCTTAGATATCAAAATCTGTGATGTTCTTTAGAACAAAGAGGAGTAATTAAAAAAAAAAAAAATCTTTGATGCTCAAGTCCCTTATATGAAATGGCATAGTATTTGTATATAACCGGGCACAACCTGGTTGTCATCTCTAGAATATGTATAATACTTAATACAATGTAAATGCTCTGTAAATAATTGTTATACCCTATTGCCTTTTAATTTACATTATTTCTTATTGTTGTATTGTTATTTTAAAAAAATATTTTCTATCTGTGGTTGGTTGAAACCATGGATGCAGACCTTGCAGCTATGGAGGGCTGACTGTACATCAAAAACAAAAAACGCAAAAACACCAAACCAATAAACATGCAACATTAAAAAACCAAATGAACAGGAAATTTGTAACGTATATGAAAAAGACTTAACTATCTTATATAAAGAGCTCAGTAGAAACCTTAAACTACTTAGTCTAAATCTAACTTGCCTGGCTCACTCATTGCTCACCCATTTAATTTTTGTTGAAGGTTGTACACAATCCACAGCTAATCACAACAAAGAGGAACCCATCACGTGTGCATGAACGAATGGGGAAGCAATACCGTCAAGAGTGGGTGTGCAATGCGGGAGTGGGGTCCCTCAAGAGCCCAGTGGCCATACCTCTGAGCTGGGGCTTTTCAGCCACAGCAGCTTGGCCAGGTCGTCCCCGGCTGTGTTATTGACGGCATGCTCAAACACCTCCACCTTCTGCATCAGTGTCAGGTGGTCGTAGTCTGGAGCCATCTGCATCAGAACATAACCTTTCAGTAAGAGAACAGCTTAAGACAAGCAATTTAAATCCAGGAAGAAACAGGTGTGGGGTCCAGGTAGCACTGAATTCTAATAATTTCACCACCATGGCCAACAGGAAAAGGAAGATAAGAACTGCAAAAGGGAAGATGCAATGAGCACTCTAACCCGATGACCACAGAATTCCCAGGGCATAAGAGGTAAGCACTAGGCCTCACCTCAGTAGAATCCTTCTGTGCAGATGAGAGTTTTAGAGGTTTCTTCTTTCTTGTTACTTATACATTTACTAAACACAATTTCTCCATATGGCCTGTGCTTTGTATGCATTAGGTAAATATGTGTTGCCTGACATTTATCTGTCCAACCTCCCCTAGGATGATGAAAAATTAATTTCTTGGCTTTAGGGTCCTTCGATTTCTCAGAAGGTTATCTTATTTAGGACTGATTTCATTAAACATCTTCAAAGCTAATTCCCTCAAATAGGTTTTTTTCGTGATAAACATACAGAGAAGAACTAGAAAAGCAGCTCTGTGCAGATTCCCTGACTTGTGAGTTTTGTCTTCAAGACACCGAAGGGGTGTTGAGCCTAGTCTGGCAGCCTCATCACATACCCGCAACATGATGCGATGCTCAATGTTGAGGAGGATCTTCTTTTTCTCCCTGTAGTCCCGGATAAGGGCGTGCAGTGTGTCACAGTGGGGGACCCAGCCAATGAGGCCTGAGTTGGTCGACAAAGGGATGACAGCATATCTCTGGATGCTGGCGCCCACAGGAAAGGAGGGTTAGGAAAGAAAGTAGACTTTTGATCAGCTCTGGATACTTGCGGCCTATTTTTATGAGCCCCCTGCAGCAGGCTATTGTGAGGGGTGTAGTGAGGGACCCTTTGTGAAGAGTAAAGCATCTCAGAAAATGCACTGATGGTATGAAACCAACACTGGTCTTCTCAACTTGTCTCACAAACTCATGGCTTTAGGGGAACAATCAAGTGACTATTTCTGAGGCCAAAATAACCTCTTAACTTAATATTCATGGCTTTTTTTCATTTTGGAGACAGAGTCTCAATCTGTTGCCCCAGCTGGGGTGCAGTGGTGTCATCATAGCTCACTGCAACCTCAAACTCCTAGGCTCAAACGATCCTCTTGCCTCAGCCTCCCAAGTAGCTGGGACTACAAGCATGAGCCATGATGCCCGGCTAATTTTTCTTTTTAGTAGCGACAGGGTCTTGCTCTCGCTCAGGTTGGTCTTGAATTCCTGAGCTCAAGTGATCCTCCCACTTCAGTCTCCCAGAGCGCTAGGATTACAGGCATGAGCCACCGTGCCCAGCCTATATTGATGGTTTTAATTTTAACAGGAAGAGGAGGCAACAGAGTACTAAGGATAGGAAAGGTTTGGCTGGGCTTTAATCCCACTAGGGATAAAACACATCAAACTTGCAGAACCTCTAGTCTAATTGCCACAAATTGTTCCATTCTGGATTTTGGAGGTTGCTGAAGGCATTTTCCAATTAGAATAAATACCCTAAACATTCTGGAGAATTTTTCTTTTTGTGTTTGACATCTTGGCTATGGATAACTTCCTGCCAGGTACATAATTTTATAATTTATTTCATTAAGATACATGACTACCCACATGAGATAGATGTAGGGAGAAACTAGAAGACTTCTCAAATCTTTGTCATTTCAGAGCATTCTGAATACCTGAGGTTTTTCCGAAGAGATGTTGGATCATTGGCCAGAAGGGTGTTAACCAGGCCAAAGAGCTGCATCACCCGCTCGTCCTGTCTCAGATCCTCATGGCCTTTCAGGAGGAAAACAAACTCATGCCCGTTGCTGCCTGTAAGGAATAGGGGAAGCAGTGAGTGGAGATCAGAGGTTCTCCACCCCTTTAGTTGGGACCACCACTGTATTCAAAAGCTCCTTTCAGACTACATGTGCCTTACCTAATCATACTTTCCCTACAAAAGGAAAAAAGCAATCCTTAGAATTGATGAAAAGAATGGCTGCTGCTGGGCGCAGTAGCTCATGCCTGTAATCCCAGCACTTTGGGAGGCTGAGGCTGGAGGATCGCTTGAGCCCAGGAATTCAAGGTTGCAATGAGCTATGATTGCAACACTGCACTCCAGCCTGGGTGAGAGTAAGACTCTGTCTCTATTAAAAAAAAAAAATGGCCTTGCTTCTGATGGTCCGCAATGACCAATGTTGCTCAAATTCAAACAAAACAAGGGCCGGGCGCGGTGGCTCACGCCTGTAATCCTAGCTCTCTGGGAGGCCGAGGCGGGCGGATTGTTTGAGCTCAGGAGTTCGAAACCAGCCTGAGCAAGAGCGAGACCCCGTCTCTACTAAAAATAGAAAGAAATTAATTGGAAAAACTAAAAATATATAGAAAAAATTAGCCGGGCATGGTGGCGCATGCCTGTAGTCCCAGCTACTCGGGAGGCTGAGGCAGGAGGATCGCTTGAGCCCAGGAGTTTGAGGTTGCTGTGAGCTAGGATGACGCCACGGCACTCTAGCCCAGGCAACACAGTGAGACTCTGTCTCAAAAAAAAAAAAAAACAAAAGAAAACAAAACAAGAACTGTTTCTGAGGACCAGGAATGACTACCATTCTCTGTACTCCCTCCTCCCCAGCCCATTCTGTCCTCTCCTGTCTTGAGAGGCCTGACCCCTACAGACAGACCACACCTCCTGGAAGCACAGGTGGGCATGGTGGCAAAAGGGAAATGTCAGGGTATCTCCCCCTCCATATGGCACGGCTACGTCTAGAAGCAGCTACATCCCGCAATCTGGGCTACAGCCTCTGCCGGACGGAGTCTCTCAGGTTGAGCCCTTACTGGGCTCCTTGTCCTCTCAGCTCTGGAGGGCTGGGGTGGGGGTGATAGTTTCTCACTGTTGCTTGTTCCTGGGTGCTCTCGGCTTCTTCTCTGAACTTTGCTCACACCTCTGGGAACAGTTCCTTCCTGAAACTCTCTTTAATTAAACACCCAAGAACCTGACTGAGCCACGTTTAAGTATTAGAAGACACCGGTCCATGGAGAGACAATCACCTGTGGACCATGATTAGTTGGTGCTGGTGAATACGCACTACAATTAAGAACCATGAGCATTGTTAAGAGTGAGCAATCTCTGAGTGCCAGGAGGGCACTTAGGCCTCTGCAAACCATTCCAGACAGGTAACACTCTACGCCTAAGGGAAATTCCAAAGTCCGTTTAACAAACCTCACTGAGATTTCATTTCTATTTCAGTTTGTTCATTTTATACAATCATTCCCCACAGAGACTATAATGTTAGCAAAAAGAATATTCCAGAGCCAGAGCTCTTTTTCCAAAGTAGCTTGTCACCTTCCACGTTTGCATCCAGATGCCTCCTTCTTGGCCCCATCAGTTTCCCAACACCTGCCTACCACAGCCCTCCACGTTGGGTGCCTTTGTGCGTGACCACTATGCTTCGCTTAAGCACAGCTACATGAATAAACTAAGAGTCCCAAGAAGGATGTAAAAAGGAGGAATTCACTTGTCCTCTATTCCTCTCAATAAACACGGGGGAGACGTGGCATATGAAAGATTAGTAGTGGGAATGACAAGCTGTAATTTCAGAAGAGGGAAGGGGGACTCAGCCAGGGTAGGGAGGAAAAACAGGTGACAGAAGTGTACAGTGGTCCTTACCCATCAGTGTCAACTTCCGGGGCCTCTGCTTGGATGTGATGACTTGTAAAGATGGTGCTATGGACTGAATGCGAATGATTGGCTGGTTGGGGTCATAGGTTCCAGGCACAGCCAATTCAAGGTCCCGGCACATCAGAAGTTTTGGGGAAACATATTGCAGCTCTAAGGATGTGAGCTGTGAATAATTACGAAAGGATTTAGTGTTCTGCCTCCAGGGAGGAATTTAAATGCAATTTAGGTATTTTTCAATGGCTTGCTAATAGCGATTACTTGTCCCAAAGCAGAATTGAAACCAGATGCTTTGGACTGAGTGTTAGAATATTTGAAAGGAAAGGACTACAGAAAGGACTACAATGATGGTTAACCCTGCTGGAAGCCTGAGGATCCTACCTGAGGCAGCTGCTTTGAGATTCGTCTGAACACATGGTAATAGAGGTCCCAGGCTTGCGTGAGGTCCTTGACATTCCCTGACTTCATGTACTTTCTGCACCATTCTTGGGCCTCCATTAAATCTCGACCGTATGCCTGAGAGGGAAATCAGGGCAAATTCGCAAGTGGTCAAAGTCTCAACCAAGCTAGGGGGCTAAATCCCCAAGCCAACTGCAGAAATCCCCTAGGAGCCTACTGTGGCCAGAAAACACTGGCAGGGAACTGGTGGGAGCAAAAGCTGTACAAGTCTCTAATCCTGAAGCCCCCAAACCCGTAGCATGGCTTATCAGGTACAGGAGAGACAAGATGACCTCTTGAGGAATCTTGTGATCTTCCAGTTGAAACTTCAGGAGGGTTCTTGTAACTCAATGACAATTGCATTTCTGGTGTTTTTGTATCCTGTGACCTCTATCAGAGAACATCTTACTAAAGTCAGTGGGAAGGCTGGATGGAAAGGAGTCTGACAAGGGCCATGGGTCACGTCCTTTCATGCTTTCTTTATTCCATACCTGATTAAAGGACGTTTCCTTCAGAGTCTGGGGGCCCCGTTCCATCATAGCATGCAGGGGCTCCAGCACCTCGAACATGCCTTTCACATTCCTCTCCCCAAAGTACAAGCGAGAAGCCTCTTCCAGGCCTTCGTGCCACATCTCATGCCAGAGGATGGCCACTCGGATCAGCTCCTCACTCACCTGGGTCAAAGAGAAGGAGGAGAAAAGCACCAGGGATAAGCTAAATTCAGAAAGGCCTATCTCAGATAAATAGGAGGTATTTCTGGTAGCCATCGGGAGTATGCGGCACTGACGTGAGGAAGAAACACTCCCACTGGAGACCTCTGCCGAGGTGACCAGGGTCAGTGACATCCCACGCTGGCTCTGGACTCACCATCATGGCCTGCTGCACCAGTGTGTTACTGTGCTCACACATGTTCTTCAGAATCTTGTTGGCTGCATTGTGACGGGCTGTAGTGGTGGACTTAGAAGCCACAGTCAGGGGGTAGATAAGGGCCTGAAGCAAAAACAGAAGGGACCTTTGCAAAAGGACGTGTGAAGGAGCCTGACACTAATTTTAAGGAGGATGACAAAAGAAGTGGTGAGTATGAGATTCACACCCACTTGAGTCTACCAGGAAGGAGGCTACTCAATCTTGGAGAAACTCTTTCTTTTCAGGAAGGGCCTTGGGCCACTGGACTGCTAGCTGACAGACCCTCCTGGGGCAGGATAGAAGGTTGGGCTCCCGGTTCCTTCACTTCTGTCTCTAGAGCAGCTTTAGGAAAGGCTGAACACCAAACCAAGAGGTCATGTTTGGATGAGAAACTGCCCAGGGTCTCCACATACCTGGGGGTGGTACCGACCAATGTCTGTGAGAAGCTGGTGAATGAGACGTCCCACCAAGGGTCTGGGTGTGTCAATTCTTGCAATGAGCTGAGGTATAACCTGGTATTCAAAAAGACATAGTATGCAGCACTTACTCTTCTAGGAAAAGATCAACTCTTATAACTGGTTTTGGTTGATGCTGTTGGGCTCTGAAATTGTTCATTCGCCATTTAGTTTCTCTAAAAGAAACTAAAGAAAATATGGACACTTGACCTTGGGACCAAGCTCTAGTCTTTAGCACTGTATACATAACACATACTGCCTTGCTACTCTGAACATTGCCATGATTCCAAGAGAAGACATACAGGAGAGAGAATCTGACCCATCCTCATCTGTAACCAAGTATTCTCACCTGTAACCAAGTATCTATCTGGATGGCTTTCACACCTTCCACTAAGGCTTCATTGACATCTGGCCAGTGACCATAATCAAACCATAAGGTGAGGACTCTGAAAAAGGAAAATGAGAAAGTCACAGAAAATCTAGTTTCTCAGGTTATGTCTGTTTGTTTTTCATCTTTAAGGCCTTTAAGGGTTGGGACCCGTGGGTCCAGCCTGTAATACCAGCTACCTGGGAGGCTGAGGTGGGAGGATTGCTTAAAAGAGTTCAAGACTGCAGTTAGCTATAATGGTGCCACTATACTTCAGCCTGGGTGACAGAGTGAGACCCCATTTTCTAAATTAAAAAAAAAAAAAAAAAACGGCCAAGTGCAGTGGCTCATGTCTATAACCCTAGCACTTTGGGAGATTGAGGTGGGAGGATCACTTGAGGTCAGGAGTTTAAGACTAGCCTGAGGAACATAGTGAGACCGCCATCTCTACAAAAAATTGAAAAAATTAGCCAAGTGTAGTAGTGTGCACCTATAGTCCCAGCTACTTGGGAGGCTGAGGCAGGACGATCACTTGAGCCCAGGAGTTTGAGGTTGCTGTGAGCTACGATGACACCACTGAGCTCTAGCTCTAGCCAGCCTAGGAAAAAAATTCCTTACAAAAAAAAAATTCTTAAGAAGAGAGTTGTCAGGGACTCAAATCAATGGTCCTCAAATGCGCCTGGTCTCTGGACCCCTTGGGAGCAGGTGTCTATGATGGGAGGCAGTGTGGTCTTACTGAACACCATGGGGATTATCCTGAGTAAATGTGTATTTCATCTCAGATCACGTCAAAGGTCACCATGGCATGAACAGATGAGCCAGGATAACCTCTGGAGAACCAAACATATGCTCGTATAAAAGGAGTTGCCTATAGAATAGCAGCAACAGGGACATCTAGCAGTTAGCCGGTCAGAGATCACCAAAGGAAGCAGGAGGCTGATCTCACCTGTAACCTTTGGACTGATCTGGGTCATTTGTTAAGACCTATCAAAGCCGCTGAGGGGTTTTAGAAATACTGTAATTAACAGATGGGTTAATTATTCGCTACATAAGAAACCATGCACAGGGAATTCTCACTCCACTTATCGTCCTTGTTGTCTGCAGATTTCACCCACACAGGTGGGGCCAGGCCAGCTGTTACCCCTCAAACTGCATCAGAGAGAAAGGCGCATATGCCGATCTTGGTGTACTGACTGGGGCCAGGAAGGGAAAGAGGACTTTGTGTGTGACTTCTGTGTTGGCGTACCAGAGTTACGTCCTCCCCTTCCCCGATACCTGAGCGTGTCCTGGAGGTTGTTGCCTCGTGACAAGGAGATAGAACGGAAGAAGCCCTGAACAGCGGGAACAGTGTACATCAAGAGGGTTTTGGACAGATCCTGTTGGAACACACAGGTGTTAGTGACATTCTTGCCTTGGTTTTCTCATCTGTAAAACAGGCAAAACAGCGTACTAATGGTATCTGCCTCAAAGAGTGGTTATGAGGATTAATCAGTTAATGCATGAAAAGCCTTTAATTGGTAGCTGGCACATAGCAAGCACTTAATAAATGGCAATTGGGTCATAATTGTTATTACTTGGGCTGACTGACAGTGGCTTCCTGAACAGGATGGCAGGAGGAGGTGGGGCTGAGGCTCTGAACACGCTGATCTCTGGGCCTGCCAGCTGCCCTGGTGCATTCTGAACTGACAGCCCAAGGGGAGGTGGAAGGGGAGAGCAAAAGGCAGAGGACAGATCCCCCAAGCCCTGTCCTCAGAGTGGACCTGCAGATGTGTACGGCCACCCACACACAGGTGCAGGGCATTACGTGAGTGAGCTCATCCCCGGGGGAAGCACTGCACAGAGCTTATTCTCCAGACTGGGGGCTCTGTTAGCTCCCCAAACACAAACATACACACAAAAGCACTGTCTCAAGCAATGCTGGGATGGCAGATAAACAGTATTTTCTAGCTCCATCTGGCACTTCAGATAAAGCCTGAGGCTCCTTTCAGCTTAACAACTATCCATTTCTCAGAAAGCCTGGTGCCTTAGTCAGTTCTTAATGAGGAAGAAGGGACAGGTACCTCAGTGACCTTCTTCTGCAGAGGAGAAGGCGTGGGGCTATTTTCTGCACTTTCAGCCTCACTCTCACTGTTGCTGCCCTCGGTGCTGGCCGCGGCGGCGGCAGTGGCAGCTGTGGTGGCAGCAGTGGTGGCATTGGTGATATTGGCTCCGCTGGTATGACGCAGTTTCTTCTTCTCGTCACGGGCTTGGTTCTGATGTTTGTAGTGCAGTACAGCTTCGAAGTTCATCACTGCCCACGCGTGCCAGGCCTGAGTGGGGCGAAAGCCAAGGACAGACAACAGGGCTGTGACCAACAGCAAGGCTTAGAGGAGCATGAGGTCAAGGCTGAGGAAGACCTGTGATTGCCTCTTCTTCTCTGTAGTCAACAGAGCACTTCAATGAGACCTCAGGAATGGGGCATTTTACTAAATTCAACATGACTCATTCATTTCGTGTCGCATTAACTATGTAAGGTACTGTGGCCAGCGCTGCGGGGGTGGGGCACAGCAAGAGGAGCAGGATGTAGGCCTTGCCTCAAAGGATCTCCTGGTCTTGCAGGAAGCTCAGCTACATAGCTAAAGACCTCGATTCTCTGCAAGGCGGAATGCAATGGGTCAATAGAGATGGACAAGAGGAGTGCTGGGGACAGGGATCTGGAAAGCTTCATCGAGAAGGGGGATTTGGGGTAGGAAGAGGGCTGCAGATGGGCACGGAGGACACAAGAGAGAGGGCAGCAGTGAGCACTTCTTAGCAAGGGGAAGCAGAAGGCCGAAGACAAGCAAGCCCAGAGTAGTCCACGGGAAACAGGCCCACGGATGTGACTGAGCTGGGGGTAGGCGCAGGAGAGGAGCGAGAGGGAGGCCAGCTGAGCACTGGGGCAGATGACTGAGGAGCAGGCACGCCAGGCCACAGACTCCCACTTCACTCTGCAGGAAAGCAGAGCTATGCTGGGTTTCAACTGTATAAAACAGATTATTTAAGAGGGCAGAGTCGGGGGCAAGCAGCCAGTTCTCATGCTATTTCAGGGGAGAAAAGTCTGAACAGGTCATAAGACAGTGGACAAGGGAAGACACTGAGAGCACAGGAGCATGATGGAAGGTGGACCTCATCCACCCAACTGGCCCCCACACCTGGCCGGTGGCCTGACAGAGAACCAGTGTTGACACTGCTTGATGGAAGAAGCCTTTGTGCTTATTTGGGTAAAGGAGCACTACTCCCACCTCTGAGGTTCTGAGCTGCAGGGACTCTATAGAATGCCACTGCTTGGTTTAGAGAGAATGAGGCAGAGTGTGGTAACTTTGCAGTGACAGCAGGACATTAAATAACCCACTAATGGTTGGACTTCCTGCACAATCAGAAAATTCCTTCGTATCTCTTACTAAAAACCTTTAACATAAATGTGTCTACCCTCCTAACTAAGAAGAGTAGATTGATCACAATTAACCTTTACTTGATGAGTAAGAATTCTACAATGACACAGGTTTAGTTTTCCTATACCTTGATTTATTCAACGAGTACCTCTTGTATATCTGCTATGTTCCTGGCACTGACCTGGGGTCAAGGTGAGAAGACAAACAGTCCTGGCATGCACATAGGGCCACGACACTGATGGTAGAAGATATCACAAAACCAAAGAGACCTATACCAGGAAATGCTTTTAAAAACTAAAACTAAAGCTCCTAGAACCAGCTTTTTTCTTGGGATTTGCTTTTTTCCTGAAAGCTGAATAAAGAAAAGTTAACACTGGTTAGGGGATAGATCTGATTAGTAAAGTTCCAGTTAATCAAGGGTTTACTGGATTTACTTTTCCAGCTTTGGACATGGAGCTGTCCTAGAGAGAATACTGCTCCTATCACAAAATGGACATTTTTTCAGACCAGAATGAAGCATGCTGAAACAGGGGTAAGATTTTTATTATAAGTGCTTCTGTGGTCTTCAAATGCAAGTTTTGGTCTTAGAGGGATTAATTCACAAAGTATTAGCAAGTTAAGGAGATACTAGAAAGAATAGATGACACCTGCTACACCAAGCAGCTATTACCAGGAGGCCCTTCAGAAATATTAAAAAAAAAGAATGTGTTTTCTCACCAAAGATATGTACCTCCAAGAGTTACCCCTCCATCAGTCAATCACATCCTTTATACGTTTTCTAATTCTGTTTATATTTTTGAAAAGTTTCCTGTAACATAACAGGATGTTACTCAGATCTTTCCAATAAAAACAAAGAAAGTAAAGGTCTTAGCCTAACTAAGGAGGAGCAGACAGGGATGGAAATCAGAAAAACGTTGAGCAGGAACACATGACCCAAGGGAAGATACAGTTCCAGAGACTAACCATGTGTCCAGATGCTCCTAGGAAAACAAGTAGCTCAGAGTCTACAAGACAGCAGCAGTCCCCAGTGCCATACACAGAATAACGGGGTAATAAGTATTTCTCAAATAAAAGAATCAATTCATCTTTCCGTATCAATTAAACTTGTAAGGGAAATGCAGGCTCCTTGGGCCTCTGACAGGCCCAGGGACTCCAGAAGCAAATCCACAGGACCAGACCCTTCCACAGAAGTGCAGCTGTAACTACTAGCACCTGGGAGGACACAGGCAAGGCTGCCAGGGTGCTGGGTTTTACACGTGCCCCTGCCTCCAAGTCACCTTGTACCAGCTGCGGTCGTGCTCCGTTGCGGCACTGTAGTACTGCAGCACTTTGGGGATTGTGCTCTCATTGATGCCCTGTAGGTTCAGCTGCCACTCCCCAAGTTTCAGGAAGCATCTGAAATGAGAGAAACAAGCCCCATGTTGCTCCCTCCTCAAAACAGCCCGCCTAAGAGAACCACCACTTTCAGGGGAACACTGAAGGCTTTCTGGTATTTACTCTGCTTCTGAGGAGGCAACGTGATGGAACCAGGAGAATTTTCAACTGTATGGAAGGAAAGAGATGGGCTTTCGGGATAAATTTTTAAGGTATCACCTTTCCTTCTTGACCGTTGTCTTTCAACGATAGCATAAACCAGGTGCCTGGTGCAGGTAGGTCGTCTGTATGGACTTATCTACCCCAAACCCAGTTTTTGTGGGTGACAATTGTTGAGTGTTACTTTTCTTATTGATTGCTATATGCCTTCTCCCTTACTCTTCCCTTCGCCTCCACTCTTTGTAATGATAATATTAACAGCTGACATTTACTGATTGCTACTGTATTCCAGCTACTGCTGTAAATGCTTGATGTTGTTCTCTTTCCATCAATCCCCACATCACCTTAGGAAATAGGAACTCTTACCATCCCTTTTATACCATGAGGGCACTGAGGCACCGAGAGGTTAAGTAACTTGTGTAAAGTCACACATCAAACTAGTAGCATATCTGGCATTTGAAAACAAGGATTCTAATTCTAAAGCCAGACACCAGGAGGAGAACAGCACATGGCTGGGAATGCAAGTGGCAGAGACTTTGGAGCAACACGATTTGATGGCTGCCTGGGATCCCTACTGGAAAAGGGCAGAGAAGTTAGTAACCAGCCACCCAACGAGCCTTGAACTCCCCCTCACTGAAGAAGCTGCTGGGTTGGCAGGGCTGGAATGTGACTGGTCCCAGGCCAGTGGGGATCTCACCGGGCCATGAGCTTGTGCAGTTCCTGTTTGTGCTGTTGGTCCTCGGTAGCGATGGCATGCTGGGCCTGCTGCTGCATGGTCTGGACAAAGTGCTGCATGTGCTGGAAGGCATCGATCTGTAGCAGGACGAAGGCACAGACAGCCCCTTGGCATGTGGCCCAACTCACAGGAAAGGAACTACTGTTCGTCTGATAGGCACATGAGTCAACCCCTCTCCGAACAGAACACCCTAGATCACAGGGTGAGGACCCCATAGGACAGACGACCAGGGCATGATGCTGGAGAGGACTGGATTTTTCAAAGAGAGTCATGATTTATTCAACTCAAGTCTTAGCTCTCTTTTGCCAACTGTAATTACCAGTTTTATAAGCCTTGGGTAAGTTTCATGCCTGGCTACCTCATATAACAATGCATATGAAGTAATTTGAAACAACTGCTTACTTCACTATCAATATGTTGCCCTGGGGGAAATTAGGCTTATGGGGGATTGTTTCAGGCTAGTAAAACTTTGGTATTTGTTTACAGCACTATGGTACCTTGGACACTATAGATTTAAAAATCAGATAGAACCCTCAGCACCCAAATAAGAATACAGAGATGGGGTGAAGCTCCTCATGCACTCAGGTGGAAGAGGGAGAAGACATCAGCTAAGCAGACATCGATTTGAACAGGGAAGCAAAATCTTCAGCGCATCCTTAAGCAGTTCGATCTATTTACACCATAGGATTTTACATGAAGTGAGCAGGAGGCGTTCGAGTTAGGAAGAGATAGCTAAACTAGAGAAGAACAGAGACATAGAGTCAGATCTGGGAGTACTGTACAAGCCTGCCATGTCCAGACACACCAGCACCTTAATAAATGGGGTCCACACTATTTTTTAAAGAGGGAAAAAAACTTTTCTGTTTTTTTCTAGAGGGGGGGAAAAACCCAGAAAAACAAAAAGATAAAGGGCTTCAAGGATGGAGATAGAATGCACAAACATCACAAGCTCAAATGGAAAAACGGCAAAATCTAAATCCACTAACGTAGGGAGAGGGCACATTATATGAGACAATGTGAAAAAGCAGCTGTGTTTTTTGCTGCAGAAGAGGAAAAAAATCAATACTTCAAATAAATAAAAGGTCTTCTATGGTAAATAATATAAGAGGTGTTTTTCTTTTCTTTTAAATAAGAACATGTCAGTGATGATGGCCTTGAAGGAAAATGAAACACCCTGGCTTGAGGGCCAGGACCAACCTCAGATACTTTTCAGTATAAGGGATTACTGGCATTAAGAGGTAGGGCTTAACCCAGAGCCAGGATGATGTGACAAACAATTGATCAGGAAGCTAATCCATGCGTGGGGCACAGCACACGGATGTTCCAACAGTTAACCAGACACCTGTCTCCCTCACACACCTGCCTTCACAGAGTTCCATTATTCACTACTGGCGTTGAAAAATGAACCACATTAGCATCCCACATCTGGGAAGTGATAAATGTTCCTTTAGTTTTTCTTCTAGGAGAACTACAATGACCAGGCTTAAACCTGATTAAAAAAGAAAAATGAATTGGGAAGCAGTACTAAAAAGATCAATCACTGAAAAGGTAACTGATGAGTAAGGGTGATCGGTGTATACATCAAGCAGGCAGGAACTAAACTAGGAACTTTGATGCCAGGTGCTTTTCAGAGCTCCTAAGCTATGTGTCATTAACAGTCCAGACACAGAGTTTAAACTCTGGTAGACTTAACCAGGGGCTGAACAAAAATAAATTGCCAAAGCTGGCTATTAGTTTGGATTTGAAATCCAATATCATGTTTATTCAGCATGGAAGAATCCAGTATCTTTCTACTCTATGACATGAGGCAACTTATTTTCAAGGAATTGAAAATGTTTTATTTAAAACCTCTTTTCTCCATTCCCAGGAAATGAAGAGGGGGGAAAGTGATTCTTTCCCCCTTACAAATGAAGGAGCAGTCATTCAGAGGAAGGAGCTTCTCTCAGGCCCACAGAGTTTTCGCTAGGAGTAGCACTAAGGTTCTAGACTGCATGGGCAGTTTGTGGGCAAGAATGATGGCCGTGGTTCAGTGAAACTTCCTGGAAGGACTACCCCAACTCTAGATTCTGTGGAGTGTCTTGTCTAGCAAAACTCTTTACATATACCTACTGCCTGATGCCTTCCAGCATACCAGGGTCTGCTTTTCCCCAAACATTTCATTTGCCTTAGGCAAGGCAAAGAGTAGATCTTTGTTTACAGTAGAAGAAAGTTAGGCTCAGAGAGTGACTTGTTCAGAAGCACAATTAATTAATTAATTATTTATTTTGAGACAGAGTTTTGCTCTGTCGCCCTGGGTAGAGTGCAGTGGCATCACCATAGCTCACTGCAACCTCAAACTCCTGCGCTCAAGCAAGCCTCTTGCTCAGCCTCCTCAGTAGCTGGGACTACAGGTAGGCATCACCATGCCTAGCTAATTTTTCTATTTTTAGTAGAGACATGGTCTCACTCTTGGTCAGGTGATCTCAAATTCCTGAGCTCAAGCAGTCCTCCCGCCTTGGCCTCCCAGAGTGCTAGGATTATAGGCGTGAGCCACCGGGCCTGGTCCAGAAGCACAATTATTAAGTAGTCAGTTTTCTTTGGGAAGCTCCTCAACTATGAAGATGTGACATCCTTAGCTCTGGGCTTGAAGTCCAAGTGCTTAACTTTAAATAGGTTCCTAATTTTTAAACCTCCCAGAATTTGGGCTACTAAGAAAGGGTCATACTCCGTGAAGAAGTTGGGCTGTAGTCATATGTTGAAAGAAGCTACTCCTTGGTTGAGACATTACCCAAAAGTCTCCTTCTGCAAGACATTCAAAGACTTGGAGGCTTTGCATAGGAAGGAAATCAGACTATATTCAGATCCAGCACCTTCTGTTTTTCCTATTTGCCTGTAGGAGGTCAGGCTTTGAATCAGAAATGCTCTGGCCTGGGAGGCTCACAGAGACTGAAAAATAAAACAAAGCGATGAAAATAAACAAATCCCGAAACTGCACATTTGGAGAAGGAAACTTGGGTTGTTAGTGTTGAAGTAAATCCCAGTCAAAGACCAGGTGCCTGGGTGAGGGCTGTTGGTCCCACTCTGGGTGGCATTCACAGCCACACTGAGTCCGTCAGTCTCTGGATGCCTGGTTCTGAATCTCCTAAGTATGCCTGCAGCAGAGACACAACTTCTATTTTATCACATCTTTCCACAGCTGGTGCACCAGTGGCTGGGTTCTACTCCTTTCTCATCTCAGGCGCCACTGTGGGGACAATAATAGGAAGAGAAGGCCAGCTGGGACTCCCTCCTTCTTTTGCTAAGGAAGATGATAGGGATGATTTTGCCTCCAGGACCTACTGTTTGTTAATCACCATCATCCGGGAGACTGTTTTTTAAAAAACAATCAAAAACCAGGAGCCCCCTCTATTTCTCAAGGGCTTGTCTATAAATAAAATAAGAGGAATTCTACATTGACTTCAAGATAACTTTCCCTCCTGGTTTCAGCATTACATCCTCCATGTTGTTGCTTTTAAATCCAAGTTAATGACAGGAAAGGAGACCAGAAGTCTGAAAAAAGCAAATTGGCCTTGTGAAAGTTCTAGTCTGTGTTTTTGAACATACAGTATTTTTGTACTGACAGCCCATCTTCTCTTAGGGGGCATAAATTATGCCTTTTCTATGGCCCAGCACTTTCTGGATACCAATAAATATAATCGTGATCATATCCATTGGTTTGATCAATGGTATATGTGCATCTCCTCAACTATGATTCACTTTGTGAAATCAGACCAAACAGCTACACAACAGGAAGAGACTCCTGACATTGCAGGTAGACGGTTTAAACATTGTTTCCTTTTGGGCCTTTAAGGAGGCAGTGAGAAGTAGATTAGGGGGGCATTCTGGAGAAGGTGGTCTGTTGCCAGATGGATTCAGATACAGACCTTGCGAGCGCTCTTCCACATGTTTTTCATGTAGGCATAGGTCACCTGAGGATGAACTGTTGGCAGAGGATGGTCAAGTTGCCGAGATGGATCAACTCCCAGGAGCAATACTAAGGTTTTATGAGCAAGAGCCTTAAAAACAACAGAGGCTAGGTTATAGACAGAACCGTCTGGCCTAGGGGCACCATGTCCTGCCCTCATGGGGGTAGGGGTCACTCACCAGCCTGCCGCTCTTGCCGCACAGACTTGCATACTTGAGCCAGGTTCTCATGTCCTCATGAGGGCTGACCACAAGGGATCGCACCATAAGGATTTTCTGCCAGTCCTCTACGATACGCTGGCAGCCCTAGAACATTCAGAAGTGAGGATCAGATACATTCTCTGCTATATCTTTTTTGTTGTTGATGACACAGGGTCTCACTCCATTGCCCAGGCTGGAGTGCAGTGGCATCATTATAGCTCACTGCGACCTCAAACTCCTAGGCTCAAGTGATCCCCCTTCCTCAGCCTCTCTAGTTGGTACTGCAGGGGATGCTAATTTTTCTATTTTTTGTACAGATAGGGTCTTGCTATTGCCCAGGCTGGTCTTGAACTCCTGGCCTCAAGCGATTCTCCCACTTCAGCCTCCCAAAATGCTAGAATCACAGGCGTGAGCCATAGCACCTGGCTTCTCTGCTATATCTTAAGCCCCCATAAGCAACAGCAAAATCCACTCTGAAACAAAAAGGAGATTCGTTGATGGAATGTCAGCTTTCTCAAGTTAAGGGCACTGTGAGTGAAATTCCTCTTAGGGACTTCTCAGCAATTCGAGACACAGTAGGACATGGGGTCGGGAGCTTGAATCTTGCCTCTGCCACTTATTATCTATGTGACTTTGGGCAGTTACTTAACTTCTCTCTGACTGATCTGCAAAGTGAAATAAGAATAGTATCAACTTCATAGGGCTCTCATGAGAATTAAATGATTTTAATTTCATTTGTGGATTATGAATAATGTATTTTTTACTTTAATATTTTGCTTCAGTCTTTCTGGTTGAAGACGACTATCACTGACAAAGAAATTAAACTGAAAATGTAACATGCAGGCTGGGCACAGTGGCTCATGCCTGTAAGTCTAGCACTTTGGGATGCCAAAGTAGCTTGAGTCCAAGAATTTGAGATCAGCCTGGGCAACACGGAGAGACCCTGTCTATACAAAAAATAAAAAAAAATTAGCTGGGGACGGTGGTGCACACCTGTAGTCCTAGCTACTCTGGAAGCTGAGGCAGGAGGATCCCTTGAGCCCAGGAGTTTGAGGTTGCGGTGAGCTATGATCATGCCACTGTATTCTAGCCGGGCTGAGAGAGTGAGACCTTGTCCCCTACATCCCCCCCAAAATATCATTCAAAATTCAAAAAATGAATTAAGTAGAAGTTTAAATAATTACATTTTCAAATGATGTTGTTTATAACTTGGTAGCATTTATATTTCTGAAGTTATTAAAGCCTAAACTTGCACTATGACTTTGGGATACCCTGTCTATTGGCCATCTTAGATTCTTTCATTTCTATTTGCCTTTGATCAAAAACTACATGTATAGAGGGGGAAGGAAGTGCCTCATTAATTTACACTTAAAATTCTTTGAAATTAAAAAATAACAAATTAATTGTTATCAAAGAAGCCAAACTAATTTTATATCAAATGAGTGCTAAGAGTAAAGTGAACTTTTCTCACTGTCACTGGTAAGAAGACTCAGGGACACAGTGGGGCGAGATGGGTTCCCAAGATCTATTTCTTCATGAGTGAATTCCATGAACCCATGGAACTGTCCTCCATGGGATAAGCTTAAAGGTCTAGCACAATGATCTCAGGCTTTTAGCCGTGACAGGATGCAGTCTGACCCTGACTGGAGAACCCAAGGCAAGCAGAGACCCGGTGCAGGTAAGGCTGGCCTCTCAAACTGCTCTGTGGGAGATACTGGCTGGGACGGTAATTTACATGACTTGATCACAGAATGGCAGTTTTCCAGCCTAGGCGGTTCATTTGACAGCAAGCCATCCACGAGAGCCAAATTTCCACCACAGAGTAATGCTTTATTTTCAGCTTTGGATCATATTTTTCCATCCCGTGAAGTGTGAGAACAATGATTTGGAAAGTTAGAAAAACATAAAAAAGGACATTCGGTGATTGTTTTGGTTACTTCTCACCAATGGCTAGTTTCTCCCAGATGCTGAAATAATTTGGCCTCCTATAAGCTGAAAACCATATTGTTGTCTCAAGATAGGGAAGTCACGAAGGGTTAAGGTGATGACAGTGTCCTGGATCCAGTAGAGTCAGACGTGCACCTCCCAGGCCTTATTCAGTGCATTCCCCCTTCCAAGTCTATATTTGGATCAAGTCCTACTTGTTAGAATTTCAGAAGATTCATCAGATCTCTGATGTGGAAACTCTTCACCCCATTACAGGCACTTCAAAAATCGGGTGTGTACAAGTCAAGTGGGAAACACTTGCTTTGTGGAATTCTTTCTGGTGCCCAGGAGATAATTTTCCATCAAAACATTCACTGGGCATTTCATAATTACTAATAAAAGATGCAAAAGAACTGTATGTGCTCATTTACGAGCCATAAACCACTATACTCATAGATGTTCCTTTGCCCACTGCTCTTTCCTGTCCAGGGGAATGCGTCCCGAGCTTCCTAGGCAGGAATGCAGCCTGGAGTCAAAAGGTTTTGTCACAGCCTACTGAAAAGCCTGGAAGCATATACCTCCATTGGTCTGGAGCAAGAATTTGGAATTAGGTATGGACTGGCCAAGAGGAAATGGCTTATAATTGAGGGGGTCAATTCTGACAAGCAGGGAGACAAATGGTTTCTGGAGTGGTAAAGGCTTTCTCTCTTTTTTTGCTGATGAACTTGCCATCCTACCTACTCAAGGAATGAAAGCACTGGTCACCCTTTCCAAGAACACTTAGGACTGCTGACTCCCAGATCTGGAATTGACAGCTACTCATGCTAAAATGATCAGAATGTGACAAAGAAAATACTGATGGAGGACTTGGAAAAGTTTCTCTACAAGGGGAAAATGCAGTGGAAAAAAGTCTAAATAGAGGCGACAGGATGACTCTGACCTAAGGAACTATAAACAGTAGGAGCTGGCGAACGAGAACATCAGGCAACCCCGTCTAAAAAGTTGGATGCAGGTGGCCAGTAAGTGTGGTGAGAGCGGTGGTTCTTAGCTTTGGCTTTTGGAATCATCTGGAAAGCCTGAAAAAGATATTGATCCCAGGTCTATCCCTAGAAATTTTGATTTAATTGGTCTGGGAAATGGCCTGGGCACCAGGATTTTAAAAAGCTCTCCCAGTGATTCTGTTGTGCTGCTAACATTGAGAGCCACTGATTTTGAGGTTATGATTCCCAAGTGACTGGCCATAAGTATCACTTATTAAAGACATATTCTTTTATTCCTAGAGAAGAGTAAGAAGAGGCTGGAAAATTGGTCATTCTCTCACAGCTAAAGCTTAAGTGAAGAGCCTTTGCGTGTTCTGCTTTGTATGTGAACCGAGCACCACACTGGTGAAGGAGGCAGGAAAAGCATGCTGGGTAAGGGCGGGGGTTGGGAGAACAAGGACTGGCCCAGGTCCTGCAGGGTGGGCGTTAGGCGGGTGAACGGGGGCATTCCCAAGCTCACCTGCAATCTTTCCCACCAGATCTGGCGGATGATCTCTCGTCGCTCAGGGACAAGTTTGTACTGGATAACCTCCTCCAGCTCGGACAGCATGTGGCAAGAAACCATGGCCTGATGGAAGCAAATCACATTCCAACCTAATTACTGCATGAACAATCCAAAAGACAGGATTAATTTAAATCATTCCTTCTGGTGTCAGGGTATCTGCTGACCAGAGAAAACAGGCATGTTCCAGGTAGCCTGTGAGTTCTCACTAGCCCACTCTGGAAAAAGAACTGAAATAAGACTCAAAAACGACAATGTGCAGAACATTCGACACTCACCCCGTATGCCCGACTATAGCTCTCTCCTGCCATCGCAGTTAGCTCAGCATCCAGCAGGTCCCTGGCCTTGTCGATGCACTAGAAGAGAAACAAAGAAGGCTTGGGGCTGTGCTCTGGACTTGGGAGCTGAAGCCTATTCTAGGGCTTCCCAACTAACTGCAAAAGTTATCTGGCTCATTTAAATCCCAGTGATGAAGACAGAAACTCACTGAAGAAGGGAAGAAACCTTTTTCCAGATCTGAGTGGTTAGAGAAGAGCATTATACAATTTCTCACATAAGACAGAAATGTATGGCATCCAAAACTTCAAAAAATCTACCTAAATAACAGCCACAATCTCAGGTGGCAAGAGAGAGGGAATGTAGACTGTAAAACAGCATCTCAAGAGGACATCCTTGGCGGGGCGCGGTGGCTCATGCCTGTAATCCTAGCACTCTGGGAGGCCGAGGTGGGCGGATCGCTCAAGGTCAGGTGTTCGAGACCAGCCTGAGCAAGAGCGAGACCCCATTTCTACTAAAATTAGAAAGAAATTAATCGGACAACTAAAAATATATAGAAAAAAATTAGCCGGGCATGGTGGCGCATGCCTGTAGTCCCAGCTACTCGGGAGGCTGAGGAAGAAGGATCGCTTGAGCCTACGAGTTTGAGGTTGCTGTGAGCTAGGCTGACGCCACGGCACTCTAGCCAGGGCAACAGAGTGAGACTCTGTCTGAAAAAAAAAAAAACAAACAAACGAACAAAAAAGAGGACATCCTTGGGGATCTACTTTCTTTTAACTTTTCCTTGCTGGGCATGTTTGTGACAATAGATTCTGCGTACACCTGAATGGCTCCAGGTGGTCAGCTCTGGCTTCCAAGCACCCCCCTCCGCATAAAGGAGTGCCTCTGAAATCGGCAGAGATGACCAATCCTCTCCGTGCGAACACGAGCTCTTGTGGATGGCCCTGATCTCAGTTCTCATCGTGTAAAGCAGAGCCGGGGCTGCGGGACTGTGGTTGGAGTCTTTGCTGTGCCATCAGTTAAAACCCCCTCATGCAGAGCTTCTCCTCTTTTGAATGTTTAAGGTTAATTAGTGTGTCCCCATCCCTTAAGTACTCAGATCATTTACCTGGGCACTTTATCTAAGACAGTCTGGTGCTTCACAAGGTGGATGTGATTACCTCATTATTTCATTCTGCAAGTTAGCACAGTATTTGCAAATAAGCACTAGCTTCCTTGGAAGGTAATCAATGCGTGACACGCCTGCATGGCCAGAGACCCTTGTGCCTGATTTCTGCTGCACAGTAGGGATTGCTGGCTCTCCGAATCCTCCCCTTTGGTGAAACTCACGGCTTCTCTTTAATACAAGGAATGCTGAGGCAAGGTGATAAAAAGGAAGTAATGATGATCCAAAAAGCTAACTCCAAAAGCAACTGAAACGGTAACTTTCAGAACACATTTGTCCCCCAAGTACAAAAAGTAGCCCCAGCTGATGTGCTGGCAGAGCTCACAGAGCCAAATAAACACCAGGGCAGGAGTACAATAACCTATTTACACAAGCACCATGTGCTTAGGAGTACATACCCTTTTCTCTGCTGGCAGGTTTTTACCTGTTGTGCCAAGGAGAAGAGGTCCTGATGTAGCGCCAGCACGGCTCTATAAAATGCCCCATCATGGGTGTCCCGAGGGATCATACAAGTGTACTCTTCCATGCTGTCCCACTGACCTAGGCACACAGACAGACAGACAGAATGCATCAGGGTGGTTGGCTGGCTCATCTCAAATAGGCCTTGCCATTGTTACTTTCACTTAGCTTGGGGTACAAACAAGACAAATGGACTTGAGCTGGATGCACCAAAATCCTGCCCAGACCCTCTATACCCTGTGGGGATTGATTTAACAAAACAAAGCCACATTTGTCTTCCAAACACAAGACTCCACTGCCACCCCAGGGAGCATCATGAAAGATGAGGGCAGGCGCGGGAGTGCAAAGGCGGCACTGCAAGTGGATTTAATGCAGCGCCTCATTATCCCGGAGAACTCTCTCAGGTTCCTCCAGGTGAGATGAAATCGCTTTCTGCCCTACTAGTGAAGCACCTCACAGTTCAATGGTACGTTGGGAAATTACATTTTCCTCTAAACAATTGAGAATGGCCATTATACAGACAGGGGACAGGATTAGACAAATAGATTGCCCGTTTCACTCTGGCAATATCTTTGCCTCAGAAGGGAGGAGATAAATATTTTAAGAGGCTCTGTTATAACAGAAAGATGGGCTAGGTCACAGCACAGTGGTCTCTGTGTCATGTTAGACTGGGGAAACGACTGCATCTGGGAGGAGGTATTCACTTTCCCTGGTGGGGAGAGCATGTATCAAATGCCAGGCTTTCCAAGACCACCTGCAGAAAAGATATCAGCTTCATTAGCTGCAAATTGCAGGGCTGCCAATTTTATAAGGCATTTTCCTGCCTTTCACTCCAGACTACCAGCTCATCCATTCTCTATGCCTCTGGGCACAAGCAAATAGCAAGCGATGACTCCTCAGGAAGTAATTTGTTTTTGAAAAATGTTCCGGATCTAGCCCAGAGCTCATGAAAGGAAAGGATATAAGCTCTGTGACTCAAGAGGGACAGAAGGATAGAATAGAGGTGGAATGTTATATAACATTCCTCTGGACTCCATAGGTGAAGCGTTTCACCTGGGACATCCAGGGTATCCTTTCCCCTCTTATGAAGGACATCTCTGGAATAGATGCTACTAATGTTCCTGGCTGGCGCCCAGTGTCAGAAATCTATACATGTCTGTAGGGTTAAAAGGAAATCTCTCTTTTAAAATATTCTGGGAGTAGGAGTGAGGTGGTCAAGTGATGGACAGCAAGGAGAAGAGACAATAAAATGGTCAAATGGTCAAAATGTTTATACTCATTGGAGAAGGTGAAGGGCAGATGGGGGTTCATTATACTATTCCTTTCACTTTTATATATGTTGGGAAAGTTCTATAATAGAAATTAAGAAATAAAAAGGAGATAGACAGCTATCTTCTCCCTTTACTCCTGCTTGGGATAAAGACATGACGGGGGGAGCTCCAGCAACCATGTTGGATCATGAGGTGGACTTTAAAATGGAGACTGTAGGCTAAGTATGCAAAGCAGAAATATGGAAAAATGCTAATGACAATGGAGCCAAAATAGCAGGCTGGGAATTTCTACCTCTAGATTTCATTCATAAGAGAGAAAAAGAAATCAGTAACTTGCTTAAGACAAATAAAAACAAATCCTGCTAGGTATAATAAGAAATATATTTGGTCTTTTTTTTTTTTTTTTTTTTGCCAAATTGCTTCTCACCTGAGAATACATTTGGTCTTTGTCCCTGGTGCCTGGCACAGAGCTATCTAAAACCCTGACTGATAGGAGTGTCTTTTGTTATTCATAATGAGCCCACTTGATTATGCTAATGAGGTGAGTGAGGACCCTAGGTGGCCTCAGGATGGGACAGGTCACCAGAAAGACCAAATGATTACAGGGTTGGAACTTGCAACCCCACCCACTGACCTCCAGGAAGGGTGGGCAGGCTAAAGATTAAGAGCTATAAAAGCTTGAATGATGAGTTTCCAAGTTGCTGAAGGTGCTGGAAGGGTGGCGGCAAACCCCAACTCCTGTACTCCCGACCCTTTAGACCTTGCCCTATGTACCTGTTCATAGGTATCCTTTATAATACACCAGTAAACATAAGTGAAGTGTTTCCCTGAGTTCTGTGAGCCATCCTAGCAAGTTATCAAACCTCAGGGGGGTTATGGGAACCCTGACGTTTTCCTCTTTTTTTCATTCTATATCCCATTTCAAAAAGAACCCTGATTTATAGCCGGTCGGTCAGAAGCACAAGTCACAACCTGGGACTTGGCGATTGGCATCTTAAGGGGTGACAGCACTGTGGGGATGGGCCCTTCACATGTGGGATCTGATGCTACTTCCAGGTAGACAGTGTCAGAATTGAATTGAATCGAATTGTTGGACACCCAGTTGGTATCCGCTGGAGAATTGCTTGGTGTGTGGAGACAACCCCCACACATCTGGTGTTAGAAGCGTTCTGTGTGAGTGTGCTGAGTGTGTTTTTCTCACCCACTACATCTCCATTCCGATGCTTGCGCACTGTCTTCCTTGGCTTTCTCCTGAAGACCCATTTTTACCCATGTCTAACAAGATATAGACAAAATAATCAGCTAAAAGGACAGATGGAGGACGTAGGAGTAGGTGGACACAGTCCATTTTTACACTGCTGTAGACCTGACACGTCTACCTGTAGCCACAGTGCCTCCTTGCTCCTTGGATGCAAGCCCCCAGCTTCCCTCTTCCCACCCCGACCAGGAAAGCCTTACCTAAACCCCAGGCAGCTGCCGCAGCCATCCGGGCCATCTTGGCTTGGGTCTCATCATTAACCAGGGTCCACTTTTCACAGCACTGCTGGTGGAGCTGTCCCCTGAAGGAAAAGAATTATACGGTCAGGTCGACACAGATCACCTCTATAACCTACCAATCTTCCTCTCTAGCCCCTTGGGTTAGCTGGGGCTACAGAGGAGCTGGTGTGATTGGGGCCTGCCTCCAACTGGGAGCTTTTAAATAAAAAGCACATTGGGCTAGGTCATATAATAGAGAAGTGAATGGGCTATTTGTTGTTTTTTTGGCCTGGTGCTCATAATTTGTCTGAGTGAGTTTATCAAGGGTAGGGACTCGGTCTAACTCTGTGATATGAAATGTCCTAAACATCTGGCCTCCTTCATAAATATTAAATAACCTCTCTCCTATGCCAATGAATTCTGGGCTCTTTTGCTTTGGCAGGCCTACAGAGAAAGCAATCTGAAGAGACACATCTGGACATTCATTTTGGGCTCAAGGCTATACGGAGAACTGGCTCTTAAAAGTATTGTACAAATGGTTTCATTCTGAAATGAAACCCAAATGAAATCAATCTGTACAGAAGAAAGGCTTGACAACGGTCACATCTAACAGAAATCTAGATGCTGCTTATTCTCAGAATTTTGCACAATCACCGTGAGTGTTGGGGAGGACTACGAGATATTGAAATATGAATGGTGCTTAAGAGACCCCAATACGCAGGGAGTGTGGAAGCGCTACAATAGGGACTGTTAAAATGTTGCCATCTCATGCTCCACTTTTGAATGAAAGGAAACTAAACTGCTTTATGCAAATATGAGCCCTTGATTGCATGTGAGCCTTAAGATGCAGCTAGAAGACTCTTTAATTTTTCCTGCTTTCTGAAAGACATACTGCAGGATATTTTAAGTGGCATTTAAAGTGGAATCAAGAAGAAGGGCACAAGTTCCAAGTGACCCAGGTCAGAAGCCTCAAGGGACATGAGCTGCACTGCGCTATAAGGTGATGTGTGTGTGCAGGGGGATAAAGGTGCTGAAGGAACCTAGGCTGAGCTTACAGGGAACCACATGTAGGAGATGTGCTCAGAGACATTATCTAGCATCACGTGGTACGGGGAATATTAACTTCACTGTCTCTCTGTCTTGTGATCAAGAGAGCCAGCAACACAAGTACTCTGGTTCAACACAGAGCTGAGACCAAAAGGACCTAGGTGGCCATAACGCCCCATGCACTTACTGAAGCTCAGTGATGGGAGTAGCAGCTCAGTGTTGGTTTCTTGCCACCCAGACTTAGAAACTGTCACTCCTGGGCCCTGCCAGGGGTTTGCTTAGGGCAGTAGTTCTCAAACTACTGAATGTATCAGAATCCCCTGGACAGCTCCTTCAGATGGCTGGGCTCACCTCCTGAGTTTCTGATTCAGTAGGGCTGGGGTGGAGCTTGAGAATGTGCATTTCTAACAAGTTTCTATATGACACCAAAGTTGTTGGTCCAGGGGCCACAGTTCGAGAACCGCTGGCTTGGAGCACAGGAGCAGCTCATCTGTGTGGCGTATTTTCACTGGGGTCCTCTCTGCAGGTAGGACAGAAAGCTGCATGATCTCCTAATGGTCCTTCCAACCCTACCATTCAAAATTTTATAGCTGGTGGCCACAGGAAAACCTCCCTCTGTTCCTTTGTCAGGACCACTTGTTTCTGTGCCCGGGGCCTGGGGATTTCTTTTCCTCTAGGGGCAGGAAGCAGGTGCATTGATTAAATCCCACAAACTGTTAGCTTGAGACAAAGCGGGCAGCAATGCAGGAGCAGTGTCCCAGAACGGTGGCCCCTGACAGTGAGCTCAGGCACTGCCCTCAGCATGTGGCTGTGTGAACTGCTGTGTGAAGAGCTGTTAGAGCCTGGACAGTCACAGAGAGACACAGAGGCAGGCTCTTCTCTCCCACAAACATTTATTAGCAAGAATAATGCAGAATATACCGAGTCCTGAGTCCTAACTGTCAAAGGCAGGGAGGGGGACCGAAAAAGGTAATAAACGTGAGACTGGTTGTGGGGCAACAGCTAGGATGGGTTTTCTGACACCTTTCACTGCACACGGGGAGGACCTGGTAAAAGGCCTGCCCTCCATAACTTTGACTTTTCCACCTAGGGCTGCAGCAAAAAGCTTAGAAAGTGCTCTTTCGTTTGGAACACCTCCATGGGTTGGCTGCCCAAAAAGCTTAGAAAGTGCTCTTTCATTTGGAACACCTCCATGGGTTGGCTGCCGTGATCTCACTCCCGAGGAATCTGTTCTTAACGACCTAGAGGCCTTGTGGAGAAAAGTGTGAGGCGGGGATTCACTTCTGCTCACCTCTGCTGCAGGAGTGGCTGCCTGGCCTTGGGGCTATGGGGGCCTAGCTCTCACAGCCTCCAGTAGGCAGATAAGCATGGGGAAAGGCGAAGGGCCTTAGCTCCTGATAACTCCAGATCATTCCTGATGCCACCTCTGGTGAACACTTGCCTCAGGCATGTTCAGGATATATGCCCAAAGCAAAAAAGATTGAGAAATTTCACTCTAAACAGAATTGACTGAACAAACCATATCAGAAACCTGCATAGGATCAGGAAAAGAATTCTGCTTCTTTCATTTTGTTTTAAAATCTCTTTTAGTCTCCAACATTCTTAAATCCTTTGGTCAGCATCACTAGCCACTTACACTTTACAGGTAATTATAAAACTGGAAAGGACTCAAGATATCAGAGGAATATGGGAGTGAGAACTGCAATGTTAGGAGACCTGGGGGACCTCAGGCAAGCTATCTCAACTTCTATGAGCCTCAGTTTCCTCAAATGCAACACAACGGGATTGGCGAAAACCACATCTCAAATCTCTTCCAATGCATCCAAGCTGTCTCCACTTAACCCAGCGAGGAAACGTGGTCATCTTTAATTTGAAAACAGGGAGGTCGAAGGGGAAGGGACCAGGAAAGGTTTCATGGAGGAAGAAATGGTGGGGAAGATTTCACAAAGCAGAAAACAGAGCAGAAGGGTAGGGCAATTCAGGGAACTGAACAAATGAATGTGAGGTTTGGAGAAGAGCAAAAAATTTGGTCAGAGTTCAGATTATGAGACAGAGTTCACTGAGAAAGGGGCTGAAGAAGTGGGGTGGTGCCAGCCACAACAGGAAAGACTTTGAGTGCCAGGCTGTGACCCATTTATATGTAAATCCAAAGGCTATGGTAAGATACTAAAGTATTTTAAGAATTGATTAGAGTTGAATTTTATTTTTGATTTGTAAGGAAATTTATTATAAAATTGTTGTAGTGAAATATTAGAAACAGCCTAAATATCCCAAAAAAGGAAAGTGTGTACATAAATTATGTTATATCCATTCAACAGAATGCCATGCTGTCATTAAAAATGATGGGTGGAGAAACAGAGTTGAATTTTAAGAACACCTTGCTCTTTCTCTTAACAAGATATGGATTTGAAAGTAGAAACAATTGTTTTTGAAATAACGTGGCTAATCCTTATTAACATACTTTTTTTTTTCTTTAGATCAGTGCTGTCCAATAGAACTTTCTGTGATGATGGAAAAGTTCTCCATCTGCACTGCCTAGTACAGCAGCCAGATGTAAAAATAGCCATGAATGGCTAGTGGCTACCATATTGGACAGTACAGGTTTAGATACCTGTTGAACTTACAAAAAAAAAAAATAGCTTTAATTGTATAAGCAAATCTGAAAGCTGTGCTTCCTTAATTTATTGAGGAGAATGAATATGGAATGTTAAATTAAAAAAATAAATAAATCATACTTTTGAATCTTCCAATGGTTAACTCAAACAATTAAGCCATTTGTAAATAATTTTAGACTATTATTTACAGATATGTGATCCAAGGCCTAAGGCTAAATTTGCTGACATTAAATTTTCATGCAAAACATTATAATATCTTTTATCTTGGGATTATAGTAATAACTTTATATTAAGAAATAAAAGCAATAGTTTACCAAAAGAATATCTTTTTTTTTTTTTGAGACAGAGTGTCACTCTTTTGCCCGGGCTAGAGTGAGTGCCGTGGCATCAGCCTAGCTCACAGCAACCTCAAACTCCTGGGCTCAAGCAATCCTTCTGCCTCAGCCTCCCGAGTAGCTGGACTACAGGCATGCGCCACCATGCCCAGCCAATTTTTTTCTATATATTTTTAGTTGTCCGATTAATTTCTTTCTATTTTTAGTAGAGACGGGGTCTCGCTCTTGCTCGGGCTGGTTTCGAACTCCTGAGCTCAAACAATCCACCCGCCTCAGCCTCCCAGAGTGCTAGGATTACAGGCGTGAGCCACCATGACCAGCCTCCAAAAGAATATCTTTAATTAGGTACAGAAAGACTGTGGGTAGCCTTCTATTCTTTTAGAAGGCTCACTTTGTTGTGGTCTATCCCAGTGGGCTTTTTCTGCAGCTGCATATCCTTGGAAATGTCTCATAGCAACTTTGTGGCTTTGCTGTACTCACAGGATTATTTGTTAGATCTGTGAGAAGGAACTACAAGACAGTCGCTGAAAGTAGGAAAGACCTAATAATTTGTCTTTACCTTAGGTATTGGCATAGCCCACTAATCTGTACTATTCCTGAGTGTGATAGCTGTAGAACTAATATGATTCGAACACATTCGTTTTTCCGAGCGGGCGTCAAGTTGGGAACCAGGCAGATCCATCTACTCTAAAAATGGCTGACAGGACAACTGTGGATTAAGGATCTGTTCTATTAAGACTCCAGCCTTTGAGGAACTAAGGTTTCCTTGATGAACAGGAGGAATCACATGTGAAATTCCCTGAATAAAAATTTATTGACTCAAAATAATTTTGCCTAATGCCACAATTTAAAAAAAAAACAAAAACCTCTTAAAAAAAAGAAGCCTTACTTTGATTTTATGGTATTCTTTAAACTTTCCAAAGTATAAAATTTCTAAATGATAAAAATTTTTCTATACAGATTAGATTTTTTGATATGATGAAATATTATGTAGCCATTAAGAAATGAGGCAGTATCTCTCTAGATGCAGGTGTGGAACAGTGGCCTACACTTGTTAAGTGAAAAAAGCAGGGTGCAAAAGGTATAAACAGTCACTGTCATTCATGTATATGCTTGTAAGGAGGTTCAGGACATGCTACCCCAAAATATGGTACCGTTGGCATATTGAATATTTTAAGAAAATGGCAGCAGAAAGGTCACTCTGACCTTCCCCTGCCCTTATCCTTTCAGGCAGGTCATAAGACCCTCATGTGAGAGGAGCCCTCCTTATTCCCAGAGGTGGGAGGCCTGGGGGTGGGAGGATTGGGGCTGAGGGAGAGTGGAGGGGTGGGGGAAGGGGCATCCTTGTCTCTGAAGACTGTAAAACCCTGTAAAGTAATTTAAAGAGGTTTATTCTGAGCCAAGTTTGAGGACTATGGCCCGGAGCCATGCCCAAGAAGCCTTGACGCAAGTGGGCTCCCTGTGGTTGGGTTACAGTTTGGTTTTATACATTTCAGGAAGACGGGAATTACATGTAAGGTTGTAACTAAATACATGGAAGGCGTACATTGGCCCAAAATGGTGGGACATCTCAAAGTGGGGTAACGGGTTGGGCGCTTACAGGTTATAAATGTGTTTAAAGACTCTGTGATTTGTAATTGGCTAAGGAAATGAAGCTTCGTCTAAAGGCTTGGAATGTTTTAAGTTAAGATAAGGAAGTCCATAAATCAAAGACAAGCCACCAAGACATATACCCAGACTCAAGGGATTTGCAGGTGTGGTTTAAGCTTTGTCTTGCATAGCCTTAGGCCTGTTAATGAGTTGAAAAGGATGTCTCCAAGAAGGGAGGGGGGCATGATGAGGCATGTCTGACTTCCCTTCTCATGGCCAGCAACTCAGTTTTAGGGTATCCCCTTGGCCAAGAGGGGGTCCATTCAGTCAGCTGGGAGGAGAGCTTAAGATTTTATTTTAGCTCACAAGACACAGGGTCACTGAGCAGAATCTGAACAAACAGGCCTTGCTAAGTCTCCCCTGGCTTATTATCAGTAGGTCACACCCTTTTTGCCCTATTCTATTTCTTTTTTTTTTTTTTTTGAGACAGAATCTCCGCTCTGTTGCCCTGGCTAGAATGCTGTGGCCTCAGCCTAGCTCACAACAACCTCAAACTACAGGGCTTAAGCAATCCTTCTGCCTCAGCCTCCGGAGTAGCTGGGACTACAGGTGTGTACCACCATGCTCGGCTAATTTTTTCTATATATTTTTAGGTGTCCAATTAATTTCTTTCTAATTTTAGTAAAGACGGGGTCTCGCTCTTGCTCTGGCTGGTCTCGAACTCCGAGCTCAAACAATCCGCCTGCCTCAACCTCCCAGAATGCTAGGATTACAGGTGCCTGGCCAAGAGTTAAGCAATACTGTTGCTTCTACTTGGAATATCTGTTTTTCCTTTTCCCTTCTCCCTGTTTCCTTCTCCCTCTCTCCTGACTCTTGGTCCTTCCTCCAGGAAGTATTGCAAGATCACCCTGCTCCCTCCTGTGGGCTTCCCAAAGTAGTCTGCTCATACCAGTGTCAATGTCCTCTCAGGCTTTAATAACTCTCTTTACGTGCTTGTTCCATCAACCTCACAGTAAAGGCCTGGTTCTTTGTGTCTTTTGTATCCTTGGGGCCTGGCATAGTGCTGGGCACATAGTAAATATTCAGTAAAGAAAGGTGAAGCACCCGAAGAGGGCATTCATTGCTCCTTCTTTCCCAAAAGCATTAGCAAGAGCTAAAAAAAAAAAAAAAAAAAAAAAAAAAAAATCAAGGTTGCAAAGTAAGAATGTGAGATCTTTACCAGGTCAGTCAAGATTAAGAAATAGATGAAAGTAGGTCTCAGGAGCACATTCCAGGCTGTCCTGTCCTAGAACATTACAAAGTTTAAGTTAAAAAAAAATTTTAAAAGGCCAGGAGAGGTAGCTCACACCTATAGTCTCAGCACTCAGGGAGGCTGAGATGGGAGGATTGCTTGAGCCCAGGAGTTCAAGGCTACAGTGAGCTATGATTGCATCACTGCACTCCAGCCTGGGCAACAGAGTAAGACCCTGCCTGGGGGGCAGCGGGGAGGCCTTGCTATTTGGCCGCTGGGACAGAATAGAGAGATGATTCCTGAGAAAATATCAAAGGAAACAAAATGAGAGTCTGAGGTGAGGGCTCTGAGGGAATTCATCCTTTCGAATCCAAAGATCGAGTCTCTCACAGCCACTCAGGCCATCATCCTGACGAAACTCACCATTCCCCCAAGGCCTCGAGGCAGCGCATGCGGCCCAGCATCAGCTCTGGATCGTCCTTGTTGGTGTCCATCTTCTTATCGTAGGCTACGAGAGCATCCTCCCACTCGTGCAGTTTCTCATACCAGGTAGCCTGGATCTCCTGCCAAGCGGAAAGAGAGAGGACTGCTGTGAGGCACAGAGAAGGAGGGGTAACAGTTTTTAATCCCCATGCTCTTTCCTAAGGTGCTGTGTTGTGTGCATGACGCTTCACCTACCACAGCACGTCTGGGCGTGCATTAAAAAGAACTTCAGACTATCTGGAAGAAGGTTGTTAGGGGAAGGTGGAAATGCTGGTTCCTTGGCACGTTGATGGAATGATCCTAGGGTAATCTGAGAGCAGATGTCAGACCATGCTCAGATCACTTCCTACCCACACACAGGAGTCACCAGAACACCAGCACGTAGGGATCTGAGGACAGGGGAAATGATTTGGGCACAGCAGGAGGTTCTGATCTGCGGGAATAGTGACGTGGGGCCACTTGGCAGGGATGGCAGCTGCTTTCCTGATGGGGCCAGAAAGACCAGGCCACATCTGCATATTTGTTGGAGGAAAACAACTCAACTTTTAAAAGCTCTTGATTCTCTGCATTTCTTAATACATTTTTAAACTTTCAGGAAATAATTTAAAATATAACATTGCCACTGAAAATTCTTTGGAAAACATTTCCCCTGTTCTTCTAGAGTCTCTCAACTAACGTTTCTTCCTGCTCAGTGCCTGGCAGCTTTCCCCTGTCTGGGGCCAAAGGAGGGATTCCATTACCCTGAACAGATGGAGCGCCACGCTGAAATTGGGTGTTGTCCATGTGAGTAAGAGGTGCTACGGTCTTGAAGTTACACGCTATGGCTCTAAATGGTAGGAGGCTGTTTTATGTGTTTTCTGTCTGCCCTCCATCACAGTTTGTCTTCTGGGCTTCTTCATCATCAGCTCAGTAAATGAATATTTCTGTATAGGCCAGGGTAGTGGCCCTCCAGGGATTTCTTTAACAACAACATGATCCCACAGTGGAATGTGTATGATATAATACAGGGCCCACATTAGTTTCTCCCATTACCCTCTTCCCCTTTCTAAATAAAACTGATGTTTGTGTAGTGCATACACTAACAACTACTCTGCTAAGCTGTCTGAAAGAACCCTTTCTTCTTGAACCTTTGAAAGAAGGTCATGTATATTTGAGACTGTTAACTCATACCTACTTCCCCGGTTTGTTTTTGGCAGGGCCAATGCCCCCTGCTGCCCATTGACTAGCACTGCTGCCACAACAGTCTTCCCCAACGGCAGTGGAGTTTGCCAAAACAGGCATATCTGGCTCTGAGGAAGGCAAACTGTCTAAGCTTCATTTTCCAAGCCTGTGCAGAATAATGCCTCTCTATTATGCCTAAATATGAAAGAGAAACTTAGAGACGAATGACTGTAAAGACAATGTAAAATTTAAAACTCTTAAATTAAAAAGGAGCACTGGTAGATTTCCCATTTTGGATTTCTATACAGGGTAGAAAAGAAAAGAGCTAGTGACTAATGTGTGGCATACACTCAGTATGAACAAGCAGAAAGTAGAGGGGGCAGCATATGGAGCAGGTCAGGTAGAGGGCATGGTGTTTTGAATTGCAATAGATTGCAGAAACTATAAGGTTTAAGCAATGAATCACACAAAATTCTAATGAGATTGCTGTTACATAAATTGTGCTGAGAAAGCATAGGCTCTGCCAAGAAAAAGCAAACCATTGTCAAGCTTAATATGATTCAGCTACCTAAATATAACAGAAAATCCACCATGGGTTTAGCAATAATCCTGGAGCTAATGGCTACCTTTAGAACCTGAAGATGGAGGAACTTTCATTTAAGGCTGGCATTCTGAGTATGGGCGCATAAACCATCTGTTGGCAGATCACCTAAATACCAGATGTTTGCGGAATCCTTGTTTCAATCAGCACTTACTGGGATCTAAGTTCTAAGAATATCAAAGGAGAGTACATCTTGGTCTAGGTGGAGTACATTAAGTGCCCCCTCACCCTACTTTCTTCCCTCTGCAAACAAGGATTGTGGCAATGATGGATGAGACATACTCTTTCTATTTTGTCAGCATTTGGAGAGACGCTGTTTTAGTGTAGTTGCAGATTATATGTGCTAAAGATGGTAAAAGATTCCCTTCAAAGTTTCAGCCCAATTTACTAGCCCTTGTGTCAGGCAAAATGCTAGACAATCAAATAAAAGCCTGTGAAGGATTCGCAATTTTCTTCCTGGGCTCTTGATTAAGGCAAACCAGAGTAAGTGACCTACACTACTAACAAAAGGTTCCTCATCATATATATGGACCCAAAGCTTCTTCACCTTCTAGGAGTTCAATGCTAAGTTGATTAAGTTGATGCTTTGTATATTTTGAGAGCAAAGTACCCTCCCAAGACCACAGAGAATAATGGAAATATTTTAATATTGGTAGGGCAAAGATGGCAGCAGAGAAGCAGCTATGTAAGCAACAATGAAACAGAAAATCCCTCAATACTACGTATAAATTATAGTATATATTTTTTCTGGAGATTGACCATGGTTTCTTCCAAAGTATGTACAGAGTATTAACTGTGGACTAGATATAATAGGAGCCGCCACAGCTGATACAAACGTAACTCAGATCAGGGTTAAATGCCTGGGCTCTGCTGCCAGACTGCCCAGTTCAAGTCTTGGTTCTGCCATTTATTCTTAACCTGCTGGGACCCAGTCTCCTCATCTGTCAAGTGGGATAACAACAGTAACTACTTCATAGCATCCTTATGAGGACTGAATCAGATGAAGTATATAAAACACTTAGCAAAAGGCTAGGCACATGCTAAGAGTTTGATAAATATCAGTGGTTACTATTTATTAGACTCTGCCCTCATGATCCATGTTCAGTTTAAATACAGTCCCTACATACATTGTCTCTTTCATCCTAAAGATACATAGGTAAGTCAGCATCAGACTGTTACAAATTGAGAAAAAAACAGAAAAGGAAAGTAACTTCCTTGATCAAGGTCATGGCTGAATGCCTCCCTAGCCAGGTCTCTACCTCTTGCTTTTCTGAAAGGAATGAGGCACTTACCAGCTCTCCAAAGTGTTTCATGGCATATTCTAACACCCCGGCAGCTGCCTCCGGCTGCTGTAGCTTATTATTAATGCTGAGAAAACAAAAGGAAGAGGTGGTTACACTCAACATGTCTGAGGATGGGAGGTGTGGGTCATTTCTGGGCAGATGGCTCACCAGCACGTTGGGGCAATGTCTTGCAGATGCAGAGAGGTCATCAATTATCTATTACCATCCAGAACACTCACCTTGAATGATTTCGCCTGAGGGAAGGTCTTTGTTTGCCTCTCCTAATTTTGGTGGGGGAGGGGCTGTAAAGTGAATGCTCATAGTTGGTGCTCTGGGGCCCTTCCTCCAACTAGCACAGATTGTTTTTTTCTCATCTGTTGTCAGGTAGGCAGCACAAGTCTATTTTTGAAACACTAGAAAGCCTGGATCCAAACTGTCCCTGCTGTAGTGCACAACCATATGAGATCCCTCTGAACTTTTAAGTCTTAACTTCTCTTCAGTTGCCTTCAGTAACAGGAATAAGTAACCAAAATTAATCAAAATCACTGGACTCTAAGTGACACAGAGGTGGCACCGAGGCTGGGCCGTCCTTGTCAGTAATGAAACCTGGGAGCTGTGGCTGTGTAGCCATGCTGACTGCCCCATGACAGATTGAAACACTGGAATTGATAGTAGGAGAATGTATTTTGCTTTGTGTGAGACGAATTGTTTGAGATTAGAGACAAATGTGCTCTCTCTCTCTGATTCTAACTGATGCTATTTGCTTCTGTAACCATGCTTGCTTTTAGTTGTTTGTTAAATATAGTTAATCGGAATGAAAAACAGGAGTAAGAGCAGGAGTGGCTCCATGACAGGCTGAACTTCCTGGAGTAGGCCTAAGTTTCAATTTCCCCGAAATGACGCTGACCATAGCTGGCGCCCGCGCGAAAATCCCGAGGCTTGGAGCCACTTTCAAAGGAACCAATCAGGAGTCAACACGATCAGCCCCTTTTAAAGGAACCAATGAACTAAGGAGGGGAGGGGGAGAGGTGTGCCCAGCGTGCCATGTGAAACCTGTGTGCCATGTGTAAAACAAGAAAAGGTATAAAAGCTTAACTTTTACCCCAGGGCGGGGTCCGATCCTGAAGAGGCCGCTGCGTTGGTGCTCTGGGACTTGGACCCTAGCTCGAGCTAGCCAATAAACTACTTTGCCATTTGCAGCCTCGGTGACTCTGCCTCTCTGTTCCTGGGGCCAAGGGGAACCGGCTCTAACAAGATCCCACCCTCTTCAAATCCAGACGCTTCCTTAGATCCTCTCCTGGGACTGCCCCTACCCCTCTAGCAGGAGGCTGCCAAGAGACCACATCTAGAGTTACTTGGACTGGCTCTTGGCGTAGAGATGCTTTTCCCTAATGCTGCCCTGCTTTGCTGATGGTATCTGCAGGCAGCAGGTAGCCAGTGGGGTTGGAGGACTGTAACTGTACTGGGACAACTGGCAGTGCCACTGGAAGGCGTCGTGCCTGGAGTTGGCTCATCGTGCTGCAAGGAGACCCTGAGAGCAGGAGAGCTGGGGGCTTTGACCCTTGTTCCAATAGGAATTTATACTAAATTTATACTAAATCCAACACTAAACATAAGCCTGAGTTATGGAAGGAAGGGGAGGGCGGGAGGGCGAAGGAGCTGGCTTGAGAAATTCATAGGACCACAATAATTATATTGTTTACAGGTAGGGTGCAAAATGTGCCCCACCAACTTGGGAGTCTAGACTGGTTTAATGAGCAAGGATCCAGTTTATTGCCCTGAGTACAAACTGTCTACTTAACTAGAATTAATTTTTAAGTGGTTTTGGGAAATTCCAGGATTTGGGCTCAATGTGGTAATATGGCAAGAGATTGCTGTTATAAATATTATTTTTAAAAATCCAAATACCACATTTCTTCCAATAAAACCAAGAGAGAATTGCCCAGAATCTGAAGAACTAGAGAAGTCAACATTTGTGAAAGTAATAACCTAACGCTTCATGTTTACAAAGCACTTTCCCAATAATCTTTCCAATCTATCACTCTTTTGACCTCATGCATCCTTAAGAGAGTGGGAAAGGAAAGGTATTATCAGCCCAATTTTACTAATGGGGAAACTAAGGCCCAGGAAAGGCAGTGATTTTCCCCAAGGCCACAATGAATGATGACAGTCCCCACATTATCTGAAGCAATCCTGTATCTCTTGTTAAGGAGAGATGGGAGGTGAAGCAGCTTTGGATCTGGAGTCAGAAGACTTGGGTTTTGTTTTTTTTCCCCCATATCAGACAAGTAATGTGCCAATGTCATAACAAGATCTGAGGGAGGCAGATGATGGTGAAAACCCAATCGCTGTGCTTAAATGATGGTGAAAACCCAATCGCCGTGTTTAAATGAAACAAGAGGATTAAAACTCGGGTTTCACTTTCTAGAGGTCTAATTCGATCACTTCTTAGCGGTGTGACCATAAGTCAGTCACCTTTTTTTGAGTTTTAAAGTCCTCATCTATAAAATAGGGCTAATACTACCTCCTCCTTCATAGGGTTCTTCAGGGAATTAAATGAAGTGATGCATATGAAATTGCTAAGCAGGTCTTTATAAATGCTAAGCGGGTCTTTCATCTGTTTTTGTCCAAGGATAAAAGTTGCTAGAAACATAGTTATATGCTTGTCCACAGGAAGAACATACACCTATGGTTGAGACTTAAATTAGTACTAGGAAGTCCATCTGTGCAAGTTCCAAACTCTTCCTGAGTAGGACTATTCGAGTGTCTAGTATCCAGGCTCTAGGCTTCAGATTCATGGGGGAATCTATGGGGCAGATCCACCGGTACCCCTTGTGCTGGTTCTAAGTAAAGCGATGAGCCAGGATGTTCTCTGTAAGTTAGTCTGCTGCAAAATTCAGATATGTATTTAATTTCAAAGTGAAACCGTATCATGACAATTTCCTTTAGGAACCTCTATATGAGTTTTTCTAAGCTGAGAATGAAAAGCAAGTCTAAAGGGACTAACTCCACTGTAGGTCCATTGGGACGCAGTTTCTGATGCCTCTTAGCCCCAAAAGTCAGGTACTAGACTTTGTTGCCCATGCATATGGGGCTGGGTGAACTGTATTAATAAGTAATATTACTAGGCACAGATTTGGGATTATCTGGTTCCTTGAACCCAAATAAAGTATGCTCTTGGTAGAAGTATAAAATTGTTCTGATGAGGAAGATAAAGTGTTCTTTGCCTGAACCAGAACAAGCTAGCTCTAAGAAACAGACATAAAAATCCAGGAGTTCCAACAACTGTCTTCTAATCTTGTGCTCTGGAAAATATTCTATTTTCAAGAACAAATTATAAATACTACCAAAGCTTGACTCATTCTGGGGACAAAACAACAACAACAAAACCCAAATAAAAGCCTTTTCCTAATCTACTCTCCCACTTACCGTATATAAAAAAGAGTTTTACAACAAACTGATCAAAATTAGGAAGTATTGATTAGAGACTCAAAGGAGAAATACGGCCATGGCTTTGATATACCTCCTCCTCTAAGGACAGACAAGCATTGCTTGCAAATTAAAAAAGAAAATCCATCATATGGCCCTAACCCTTTAAGAGAGAGTCTAAATAAGTCATTTGTATAATACTTGCCATTTAAACGAATATGGAGGCAGGCAAAGTTGCAGACAGAGCTGAGCAGGAAGGAAGAAGGGCACAGGTTGGGCTCACTGGGGGCTACTTACCAGCCTGTAGCAGCTGCCAGGAAACCTGGGTGTGTAACCTTGAGATTCATGATAAGCTCTTGTCTAGCAATAGGTAAGAAGGCACTTTTAGAAACTCACTCTTTTGATTGTTTTTTTTTTTTTGGGAGACAGAGGCCCCCTCTGTTGCCCAGGCTTGAGCGCCGTGGCCTCAGCCTAGCTCACAGCAACCTCAAACTCCTGGGCTCGAGTGATCCTCCTGCCTCAGCCTCCTGAATAGCTGGGACTACAGGCATGCACCACCATGCCCGGCTAATTTTTTTTGTTTCTATTTTTAGTTGACTGGCTAATTTTTTTTCCATTTTTAGTAGAGACGGGGTCTCACTCTTGCTCAGGCTGGTGTCGAACTCCTGACCTCAAGCGATCCTCCCAGCTTGGCCTCCCGGAGTGCTAGGATTACAGGCATGAGCCACTGCGCCCGGCCTGATTGTTAAAGAGTGAAGAGATTTTAAGTGAAATAGCTGCTATCACTCCCCATATTCTTTCTTCTTCCCCCTTTTCCACTTTAATTTCCTATAGAACTTTCTCCCTAAGCTTCATTTTTCTTCTTTCCTTCTGAGTAGTCTCCCATGCATGCCTACAAGGCTGCTAGAGAATACTAACTGCAGATGTGGACACTCTGGAGAGTTAAGTGAAGCAAGCACTAATCTTGGTGATCAAGAGAGTCTGTTATCTTGTTTCAGGACCTTTATTTTTTCCTCTTCCTCCTAGACTTCTGGCACTCCATCCTGGGAGGCAACAAGATGATACAACAAGACACTTAAATAAGACGAGAGCTCAGTGTATGTGCCAAGCACTATGTTTATTGCCTATATATATTATCTCAACCCTACAAACCCTATTGTTAATATTCCCATTTTACATATAAAAAAAATGTGGCCAAGTAGATCACAAGGGAGGCTGGTGTTCTCCCTTAAAAGGCTGCTTTCCCTTAAAAATCTTACCATTTGGCTGGGCGAGGTGGCTCATGCCTGTAATCCCAGCACTCTGGGAGGCTGAGGCAGGAGGATAGCTTGAGCTCAGGAGTTTGAAGTTGCAGTTAGCTATGATGATGCCACTGTACCCTGGGTGGTGTGGGGGTGGGGGGGTGACAGAGGAGACTGTCTCAAAAAAAAAAAAATCTTACCACTTACCTTAAGGTGGCACATTCCTCTAGTCCCAGCTATTTGGGAGGCTGAGGTAGGAGAATGGCTTGAGCCCAGGAGTTATGGGCTGTAGTGCACTATGCTGACTGGGTTTCAGCACTAAGTTCAGCATTAATACAGTGACCTCCCAGGAGCACAGGACCACCTGTGCCTAAGGAAGGGCGAAATGGCCTAGATCTGAAATGGAGCAAGTCAA